TCCCAAATATTCCTGGGAATTCTGGGTCCCATATTCCCTCCTGAAAACTGGGATCTCCAAAATGCCACAGAATTCCAGATCCCAAACATCCCCAGGAATTCCGAATCCCACATTCCCAAGAATTCCAAATCCCACATTTCCGGGAATTCCAGTTCCCACATCCCAGGAATTCCAAATCCCACATTCCCAGGAATTCCAGCTCCCACATTCCCAGGAATTCCAGCTCCCACATTTTCTGGGAATTCTGATTCCCACATTTCTGGGAATTCCAGTTCCACATTCCTTGAGAATTCCAGTTCCCACATTCCTCAGGAATTCCAACTTCCCACATTTCTGGGAATTCCAGCTCCCACATTCCAGGAATTCTGAATCCCGCATTCCCAGGAATTCCAGTTCCCACATTCCCCAGGAATTCTAAATCCCACATTCCTGGGAATTCCAATCCCCACATTCCCCAGGAATTCCAGTTCCCACATTCCTCAGGAATTCAAACTTCCCACATTTCTGGGAATTCCAAATCCCCACATTCCCAGGAATTCCAGCTCCCACATTTGCTGGGAATTCTGATTCCCCCATTCCCAGGAATTCCACTTCCCCCATTCCCAGGAATTCCAATTCCCCCATTCCCAGGAATTCCAGTTCCCCCATTCCCGGGAATTCCAGTTCCCACATTCCTCAGGAATTCGAACTTCCCACATTTCTGGGAATTCCAAATCCCCACATTCCCAGGAATTCCAGCTCCCACATTTTCTGGGAATTCCGATTTCCCCATTCCCAGGAATTCCACTTCCCCCATTCCCAGGAATTCTAAATCCCATATTCCCGGGAATTCCAGTTCCCACATTCCTCAGGAATTCAAACTTCCCACATTTCTGGGAATTCCAAATCCCCACATTCCCAGGAATTCTGATTCCCCCATTCCCAGGAATTCTGATTCCCCCATTCCCAGGAATTCTGATTCCCCCATTCCCAGGAATTCTGATTCCCCCATTCCCAGGAATTCTAAATCCCCCATTCCCAGGAATTCCAGTTCCCCCATTCCCAGGAATTCCAGTTCCCCCATTCCCAGGAATTCCAGTTCCCCCATTCCCAGGAATTCTGATTCCCCCATTCCCGGGAATTCCAGCTCCCCCATTCCCAGGAATTCCAGTTCCCCCATTCCCAGGAATTCCAGTTCCCCCATTCCCAGGAATTCTAAATCCCACATTCCCGGGAATTCCAGTCCCCCCATTCCCAGTAATTCCAGTTCCCCCATTCCCAAGAATTCCCAGGAATTCTCTCTCCCCGCAGGCCGGCCGAGGTGAACCGGATCCTTCTGGAATGGCTGGAAAATCTTCCCCCGGATCCTCCTTTTCCCGGGAATTCCAAGCTTTGAGCTGGAATTTTTTCCCTGGGAATTCCCCTCTGGCTTGGATTTGGGCCTTTTGGGAGGAATTTTTCCCTTTGGAATTTTTCCCTTTGGAATTTTTCCCGCCTTGAATTCTCGGAGTGGGAATTTATTTTTCCGAGAAGGGATAAAATTCCCGGAAAAATTCCGGGATTTTTTGTTGTTGTCGTTGTGGGAATTTTTTGGGGATTTGGGAAGAGGGGTTGGATCCCATTCCAGGAAGTTTTCATGGATTAATTAATAATTAATAATAATTAATTAATGGCCAATACAGTAACAATTTAATAACTAACACTAATAATTAATAATCTGTAATCTATAATTAATATTCAGTATTTTATCAGTTATAATTAATACTAATTCTAATTAATTAATGATTTTTAAAATAATTAATAATCGGTAATTAGTAATTAATTTTCTTGCTAAATGGAGAAATAAAATCCCAACTTTTCCCGGCAATTCCCTTTTCCCTGAAATCCTTGGGAAGCCGCCCCTCCCCCCTGAGCCTTTTCCCAAAGAATTCCTAAAAAATTCCCCAAAGAATTCCCCAAGAATTCCCAGTGATTCCCAAAGAATTGCTCGAGAATTCCCCCCCAGAAATTCCAGATAATTCCTGAGGCATTCCCCAATAATTCAAAAGTAATTCCCAGGAATTCCAGAAAAATTCCCCGAAGAATTAAAAAAAAAAAAAAATCCCAAAGAATTCCCTAATAATTCCACAGCATTCCCTAATAATTCTCAAATAATTCCCAGGAACTCCCAAAGAATTCCCGAATAATTCCCCAAATAATTCACAAAGAATTCTTCGCCCCCAAAAATCCTAAAGAATTCCTGAGGAATTCATCAATAATTCCCAAATAATTCCCCAAGATTTTCCCGAAGAATTCCCCAAAAAATTCCTGAAGAATTGCCCGAAAATTCCGAAAAATTTCCCAATAATTCCCCAAAGAATTCCCATATAATTCCCAAAGATTTTCCCAAAGAAATCCCAAATAATTTCCCACTGAATTCTCAATAATTCCCCACAGAATTCCCACAGAATTCCCCAATTAATTCCCTGAAGAATTCACAAATAAATCCCCAGGAATTCCCGAATAATTTGTAAGAATTTCCCAAGAATTCCTTAATAATTCCCGAGAATTCCCAAAGAACTGGAAATGTGGGAATGTGATCCGGGATTTTGGGTTTGGGATCTGGGAATGGGGGATTGGGATTTTGGGATTTTGGAATTGGGAATGAGGGATTGGAGTTTGAAAATATGGGATTGGGAATGTGGGAATTTGGGATTGGGATTGGGATTGGGAATTGGGAATGGGGAAAATGGGAATGGGGGATTGGGAATTGGGAATGGGGAATTTGGGAATTCGGGATTGGGATCTGGGCTTTTGGGATTGGGAATTGGGACTGGGAATGTGGGATGGGGAATTGGGAATGGGGAAATTGGGATTGGGAATTGGGGTTGGGAATGAGGATTGGGATTGGGAATGGGGGATTGGGAAATGGGAATTTGGGATTTGGGATCTGGGACTGGGGTTTGGGGACCAGGAATGAGGAAAATGGGAACTGGGAATTGGGATTGGGACTGGGAATGTGGGATTGGGAATTGGGAATGGGGAAACTGGGAATGGGAATGGGGGATTGGAAATCCGGGAATGTGGGACTGGGAATGAGGGAGTTGGAATTGGGAATGGGAACAGGGACTGGGATGTGGGAATTTGGGATCTGGGATCGGGGTTTTGGGACCAGGAATGAGGGATGGGGAACTGGGAATGGGGAATTTGAGAATGGGAATGGGGGATTGGGAATTGGGATTGGGAATGGGGATCAGGGAATTGGAATTGGGATGTGGGAATTTGGGATCTGGGATTTTGGGATGGGGAATTGGGAAT